TGTTTTTCACACTGTATCAGAGCAGTTGACCAATAGAGAATCACAGGTAATGGTCCTGCATTGCAAGGAACATTATTGTGAAATCCAAATTTGAATAAAAAAATAGAGCCAAGTTAAATTCTAATTGAGGCAGTAGAATGGTGAAGTTGAAAAAGCCTTTAGTCAACATTCAAGGATCCTGGCATCAAGTTGCAGAAATTCTTGAGCATGTTTGACCATTACTTCATTTAATGGTTCCTTCCATTTTACTAGGAACTTGAAATGAGGATTATTTTGATGCAATTATTCTCTGAAAATCATGACTTTAAAATTGAGTAATATATTACCCAATCCTTAGTAATAAATATTCATTTTGTCCTGTTCTCCTGCAGGAAAGAAAAACACACACTCTAAAATTGCCAAGATTTCATTATTTATCTGTGGTATGTCTGCATGTGGTTGTGGTGGTGGGCAGAGGGAAGGGGGGATATGATCGTTTTTCCGGTCCAAAGGGAAGACTTTCTACTTGGAAAGCTTCATGAATTGTTTTTTGGCGTAATTTCCCAAATGGCTATGAAACAGTCCTTTTCTCTGTAGTGACAAACTATAAAGTATTGCTTTTACCTTTAAAGATAAATGGAGAAAGTGTCTATCACTTTCTCTTGAAGTTCTTGAGTAAGGACTTAAAGGACTTGAGAAAATACTTTCAACTATTAGAGATACAAATTTCAAATATATAAACCTAAATTCAAGCAAACCCACTGGATCCACTGGTCACCATATATTTGAAGAATTTGTGAGCTTTCCAGCCACAGCTTAGGAAGCTTGAGGCTTTTGCTGTTTTCTTCTTCCCAAAACTTTGTAGCATTTTGAATGGTACATCTTTATTCTTTGCAAATATTTAAAAATTTGCCAATCAGCAAGGCAGATGTGGCATAAAACAAAGGACTGAGAATATTTTTAAGTTCTCTTGCATCCTCAAAGTGTCTCCAACTAAATCCCAAATGTGCATGACAATCTACACACTGTGCTCAGAGCTGCCATTCATCTTTGATATCTCTTTGCACATCCTTTCCCACCATGATGCATGCAGATACCTTGAGAGCGGCTATGAGTCCAGAGGCAAGAACAAGACAGGACCTCTGATTCTCCTGCAGCTTTTATCTAGTGGGGGTGATAACAAGCAAACCAATAAAATAATTACAGATTTATATTTGAGTTCTGATACTGGGCAATCGAGGGTTCCTCTAAAGAAGTGTTTTAAGCCACAACTTGAGGAAGAGAAGTTTGGAATTAGTTTCCTAGGCTGCTATCACAAAGTTCCACAAACTGAGTGGCTTAAATTAGCAGAAATGTACTGTCTCACAGTTATCAGAGGGTAGAAGTAGAGGCCCAAGTTGTCCAGCAAGCTGAAGGGGAGAATCTGTTTTGTGCCTCCTGGCTTCTGCTGATTTGCTTGGGTGTTCTCTGGCTTCCAAATCCATCACTTTCTATCTTGCCTTGATGTCCACAGAGTGTTCTCCCTATATGTTGTGCATGTCCAAATATCCCCTCCCATTTTTAAGGACAGGTACTATAATGGTCACCTTGAATTAGGAGCTCACGCAACTCCCATATGACCTCATCTTAACTCAGCACATCTACACTGACCTCTTGTTTCCCCAATAAGGTCTTGGAGGCTAGGGCTTCAACATATGAATTTTGGGAAGGGGAATACAGTTTAACCCATAATCAGTACCCAGTATGCAATGCAATATCCAAGAGAGGAAAGAGTGGGGACGGATTCCCTAAAAAGCAAAAGTGTCTGGGCGTAATCTGGGAACTGACAGAAAGCAAGTGTGACTTCAGAATTGAGTGTGAGGGTAAGGAGGACATGGAATGTGGGGGACAGGTGGGCAGGGGTTAGAGCAAAGAGTTTGAATTTTGTTCTACAAGGAGTGGGAAGATTGTGAAGGGTTCTAACAGGACACACCTGTGGTTTTAAATGATCACACTATAAATTTCCCCAGCTGTCTCCTCAACATCAATGAAATGCAAGTATTCCATAGTTTGTTGACTTTTTTAGAGGAATTTGTAACGTTTATTCACTTTCTCTCCATTCATTATATGATGAATTTGCCAAGAAACAGAGCGGTTTTTATATTCAGTCTTTTTTATTCTATTTTTGAATTCTTAAGTCAAAATATTCATTCTCCTTTATCTCTGATTTCTGTCTCTACAAATAAATCAAGTTAATCGATTTAATTAATGTCTTTTTATATCCCTTTTAAAGAAAAGACACTTTCCCTTTAAAAGAAAGAAGATATATTCAGCTGTGAATTTCAGACACACACTATTTTCTTCACACTGTTTTGGGTGAACAGTGATGATTTTCAGAGATTGTATAACCACAAAACCAACATTTGTTCCAAAATTATAATTTCAAATACATTTCACTTTTTGTTTTTTTAAGTTTTTTTATACCTTTATTTTATTTATTTATTTTTTTATGTGGTGCTGAGGGTCAAACCCAGGGCCTTGCACGCTGAGCCAAAACCCCAGCGCCGTCACTTTTTTGCTTCTAAAATTTCAGATTATTTTTAACTGGAAGAAACTCCTTATGTGATAGTTCTCTAAAACTGACTTTTTGTTGGCCAATAAGTAAAAGTAAAATTTCGCGATTTGCCTAAATGTTTTGTAATTTGAAAGTAAATATTAGTTTAAATAGCCTGTCACGCACTTTTTCAACTTCAAACTGTGGATCTTGGCTTCAGGCTTTGCTCCTTTCCAAACAAAGACGATCCACTTTTTTCTCTTTTAAATAGTGAAGTTCTGAGTGAGATGTCATTTGGGAGAAAATAATCTGTTACTTAAAAATTAAAATAAAAAACAGAAAAAAAGATCAAAGCCACTAATACCATTAGTTTTACTTTAATTTCAGATCATTGGAGACAAAGAAAACACAAACGGCCATGCTTCAAACATCATAAGAACTCAGAGGGCTGGGCTGAGTAGCGCACACCTGTAATCCCAGAGGCTCGAGAGGCTGAGACAGGAGGATCATGAGTTCAAAGCCAGCCTCAGAAAAAAACAGGCATTTAGCAACTCAGTGAGACCCTGTCTCTAAATAAAATCCAAAGAAGGGCTGAGGATGTAGCTCGTGACTGAGAGCCCCTGGGTTCAATCCCGGTACCAAAATAATAATAATAACAATTCAGAGAAGAAAATGTGTAGATCAGGCAACCCCAGGTTATGCAAGCATCTGCAGGTGAACAAGTTCACATTGGGTGAGCTAGGCAGCCCAATCAGCCACATCAGAGATGCCCGCCTTATGGGCCCATCATCAATGTGCAAATTGTCTCCATGTTTCTCATTTTTACTTCCTATCTTGAGAACTTTTCATCTTTTCGGTGATGTAAAACCAGCGCTATGGCTATGCATTTCATAATTTCATAATGTATGCAGTTAATGTTCAGCCCTTTTGACCCTTTCTGACAAACTTTTTTCCCTGATTGAGAAGCTGGAGAAACACTATCCCTAATCCTGTTACCTCTCACAATGCTTGTTTATGTTTATAACTGATCACATCTATACTTCATATTTGTGGGTATTTTTGCTTATTATGAACCTAAATATGAGAGTGGGAAACACTTATGCTATGCTTAGAGGATAAAAGAAAAATAATTTTTTTTTTTATTTTTGGTACTGGGGATTGAACTCAGGGGCACTCAACCACTGAGCCACTTCCCCAGCCCTATTTCGAATTTTATTTAGAGACAGGGTCTCACTGAGTTACTTAGGACCTCACCATTGCTGAGCCATCCTCCTGTCTCGGCCTCCCTAGCTACTGGAATTACAGGCATGTGCCACGATGCCCAGCAAAAAATAAAATTTACTATGTACAGTATGAGCACCGCAAAGATGATCACACATAAAACTAAAAGGAAGTACATCAAAATAAAAACAGTGGTTGTCTTTGAGTGATAGGACTATGATGATGGGTTTTTGTTTGTTTGTTGTTGTTTTTTCCCCCTATTGAAAAATTAACATTTTTGAGAGTGGCTTTTATTTTTATCAGTGTGAAATTTTAGATAATTTTATAGGTGGGCTCAGAAACATACTTACCTTAAGATTTTTATATAAATTGATTGGAACTTTTACCTGGTTTTTCCACAGTGTTTCAAAAAAGAAAGCACTGAATTCCATATCCAAGATATTTTAAACCATAGTCTGAAGAATTTAAAATCTCTATATCTTCAAGTTACATAGAAGATAATTTTTCCTACACAAATGCTACACAGTTATAAATGCTACACAGTTTCTCCTAGTCTTTTATCAAAACACTTATTTTTCCAAAGGATTTGGTCTTATCATAACAGTTCAAATATAGTCTCTCCAAAAGGACATATAACATACAAGAATGAGATTTCTGTCATTCAGTGCTCCAAAATAGTCGAAAAAGATTAAGAACTCAAAGAAATATGGAACAACTATGAATCTTTTCTAATTGTAAATTTCATCTTGCTTATATGCAAATTTCAGTGCCCATATTATTAATGACAAATTCAAGTTCTTAGACATCAAACATGAATGAGGACTTAGAAAAAAATATAAACCTTTATGTTAAGCTCATTATTTTTTGCTTTCTTTCTGGCATTTTCATAGTTAATCATCATATTGCACGTTCAGTTTCCATATATGACCAGAGTAGCAGAAAGAAAGATAATAACATCTCACTTGAGGGCAATTAGGACAAGGGTTTCCCTCCCTTCCTCTGTTTGTCTCTTATCTCTCTTTCTCCCTCCCTCTTTCCCTCTCTCCCTCTCTCCCTCTCCCCCCTTCCCCCCCACCATGTCCACACACACACAAATACAATGCAAGCACACACATACTCTAGAGGAGGGTTTCCTGTACCCAGATCCTCATTTGAAATTCAGGACATTTTTTGTTTTACAGAAATAATAAGAAACACTAATAATAAGTATATAGTTTTTCATTCTGGATCAAAAATAAAAGCTTGTGGGCTGAACTGGAAATACACCATTTTATTACATTGTGAACATGGTAAATTTTCATTCCCCATCTAAACAGCTATTTCCAGAAGAAACTGAAAGCACAGGGGATGTGTGGGCATGAGGCTGCTGCCCCTAGCAGGGCTATGCTCATAATTTTGGAGAAAAGAAAGGGGGGGGGGAAGTCTTCTGATTCCTAATCTCAAGGCACTTACAAGAGTACATTGGGAGACAGAATCCATCATGAAACATCGTTACCACAAGAGAGAAATGGTGTGGAGCCCCACTCCCAGGTAATACTTTCATGTATTCATCTGCTGATTTGTCTGTCTCTTGTCTGTGTTTTTAATTCTGTTTTGTATAATTTAGATGATATTTTTCTAAAATTAATAATGCATGATTACAGCAGAACATTAGAACACTACAGACTTATCCATAGAAACAAAATTACTCAAAACAACCCAAATTTCTATCAGTACTGAAGGAGTGAATAAACTGTGGTTGATGTATTCTGTGGGATATTAATAGCTGTCAAAAAAAAAAAAAAAAGAACAAATGAAAGTATTTGTTCATCTGGAAAGGATGGTGCACACCAGGATGTATGATAAAGAATGAAAATCAAGATACAAAGATATTTTCATATCATAATCTTTAATGCAAACACAACAGTGACTTGCCCAAAAAAAAGTTTGAATTTAAAAGGATAAGAGTATGCATACCAAGCTGTTAACATTGATTTATCTGTGTGTTTTGAGAAAAGAATGATGATTTTAAAACAAAATGAGGATATGGAAAGGCAAAGAAAATTAAACAGAAAAATAAGAACCACTTTCATTTCTGATTTCTGTTTTATTGTATTAGGAAATCTGTGTGTGTGTGTGTGTGAGAGAGAGAGAGAGAGAGAGCTTCCTCTGGGTAATTAATTATAAGTACGTATTTCTTGATTACCCAATACATTTATATCACTTCCGGGACCTTCTGGCAGGAGTCTTTCAAACCAGAGTCACCCAAGAAACTCACCTGGCCACTTTTAAATAGGCAGCTATTTCAGTTCCCTATGAGAGCTGCCTGCTATCCCTGGAGAAGGGCCCATCTTAGCCCTTTGCTCATATCTCCCCAGCCCAAGGGATAAGAGTTTCCTAAACTAAAAACAATGAGGGTTAAAGGTTATTCCCTTCATGCCAGCCTGAGTCCTGTCCCCACTCTAAAGGTTCTCTTCCAGTACTAATGAGTTCTACATGGCCTTGAAGGACCATCATGGCTTCCTTCTGGGCACTCTGATGTACTCACTGGAAGGAAGCAAGCTGTTGATGGGGTCCAGTCCATGAGCCCACTTTGACCACAAAGTGCTGAGTGTATTTCTTCCCAACACTGCTTGTAAATCCACAGCACTGGTGTGGAGGCACTGGGGAAAGTGGATGCTTTCATCCAGTTTCCTCTGCACCTCTCTGGAACAGTTATTCACCAGGATGGAAGTACACTGCATCAACATGGCACTCGTCAGTCACACACAAAGCTAAACAATTCCAGATAGTGTTCTGGTTTGTGGCCCCCAAGGGTTCATGGTCTCCAGTGTGGCAGTTTTGAGGTGGTGGAGTCTTGCAGAAGGTGACTAGGTCCTTGGGCGTGCCACCTTCAGAAGGGGTTCCTATAGTTTTCTTGGGACCCTGGTTAGTGCCCCACAACAAAACAAGGTTGTTGTTAAAAAACAAAAAAGGCAAGGAGGGGGTTGTCATTTAAAAAATAAGAAGTCTGGTTCCTGAATCCATCTGGTTTCCTGTCTTGCCATGTGATCTCTCCCTCTTACATGTGTTTTCATCATGATGCCGTCTACCATATTGTTATATAGCCAAAAGGCCCTCACCAGAACCAAGCAGATGCTGGTGCCATGCTTTGAATGTCCCAAACTGTGAGCTAAACAGACCTGTTTTCTTTATAAAGTACCTAGTGTCAGGTATTCTGTTAACAATATCAAAAAAACATATTAATACAGATAGTAAACAACGACACACATCACAATACCAAACCTAAAAATATATTAGAGATAAATACACTAATAAAATGAGAATAAACAACAACAACAACAAAAAAAATGACACATACCAAGGACTACTAAAGGAAAAGCTTAGAAGGCTTCTAGGAGGTAGTAGGATTTGAGCTCTGCTTTTAGGAATAGGTTAAAAATAAATAGAGGGATTAAAAATAGATTTATATGTGTAGATTATCAATTATTAATATTTAGTGTTTAAAAGCCTCGATAGAAGCTTTCAGATTTAAACATCCACTCACCCCACAGAAAGCACCAATCTGATGAATTCACTTGTCCTATAGTCTAATCCAGTTCTGTGTAGATCAAAGGGATTTTGTTAAATTATACATTCCAGGTATTGGTTGAGTTATAAAGCTAGTTTTTTCAACTAAAAATTGAGGTTGTGACTGGGAAATGCTAGAACCAACATGTGGAAGAAATATGCACATTTAATCAGCTCTCAAAACAGTTCTTTAGACTCTGAAACTATAGACTGAAAACTGTTTCTTGTGACACTTGTACTGATTCCTGAGGAATGAAAGAGTAACCGTACAGTCAGCAGATGAGTGCCTGCAGACAGGAACTCCCTGGACCCTCTTAGGGCATTCCTTAGTAGACAGGCTGAGATGACGACAGTGGCGGACTGTCACTGTCACATTCAGGATGAACCAAAGAGCCTCAAGTCATTTGTTAATGCAACATTTCCCTCACAGGTTGCTTTAACTACGTGGCTGTGTCTATTCTATAATAGCAAACATTTGGTGAAAACTAAAGAAAATATCCAGACGTTTACTTGTGGTCATGAAGGCAGAACACCTGTATATCAAAACAGGTGTTTTACCCAGATGCTTGGTAGTATGTGCCTATAGCCCAGCTCCTGTTCTGCTCTGGCTCAGGCTTTGAAAGGTGCCAAGGTCCCCATGATGGCTTCATAGTAAAGGCTTCTGTCTGTCAGTGTGAGGACAGAATGTCTGGTGTGACCCCTGGGCTGCCCTCTACCTGGAGTTGTGTATTTCTGTGCCGTTTGTACAAATAAACCTAAGGCAGTGGGTCAGGGGTACTAAATCTGTTTCCAAAGCAGCAATCAGTTCAGTGACTTTGACATCTTGCTAAAACTTAAAACCGTAGAAAAAAATGTAGCTATTTCACATGGCCCAACAAAAATGAATCAATTGTATATATTCATACTCTAATACTATATATGTGTATATAGAAACATACATACACACATATATACAGAGAGAAGGAGAGATTTATTACAGGTATTAGCTCATGTGATGATTGAGGCCAAGAAGTCCCACCATCTGAAGTCTACAAGGAAAGCCAGTGGTATAAATCAGTCCAAGTGTAAAGGCCTGAGAAATTGGCAAGATGATTACATAAGTCCTAGTCTGATTCTAAAGGCTCAAGAACTAGGATCACTGATGCCCAGAGCAAGAAAAGATAAATGTCCTAAATTGGGCAAAGAAAAGGAATTTACCCTACTTTGTCTTTATATTCTGTTCTGGCCCTTCCTCTATAGATTAGATATGTGCCCCTACACTGGTGAGGGCTCATCTTCTTTATTTAATCTACCAATTCAAATGCTAATCTCTTTCAAAAACATCATCATCATAAATACACTCAGAAATAATGCATTACTAGTTATCTGGGCCTCCCTTAGCCCTGTCAAGTTGACACACAAAATTAGCCATCATAGGGGCTGAGGTTGTGGCTCAGTGGTAGAGTGCTCACCTAGCACGTGTGAGGCACTAGGTTTGATCCTCAGCACCACATAAAAATAAAATAAAGATATTGTGTCCACCTAAAAAACTAAAAAATAAATATTAAAAATAATTAACCATCATATATGTGTGTCTCTCTCTGTGTGTATATATATGTGTGCATTAAAGATAAAAAATCATTAACAAAACTTTGAGTCTACTTGCTTTTAGCAACATTATCTGATCCATGTTTGTTAGAATGATCGTTTTTCTGAGACTAGTAAGAGATTTGGACCAAGTCAAGTAATATAAATTTCTACCACCAAAGAAGGAAGGAGATTGTATGGAACCAATGCTAGGGGACAGATAGATGAGGATGGTAGGAACACGAGGTTAAGAGAGTAATTCTAGGGGCTGGGGTTATGGCTCAGAGGTAGAGCGCTCGCCTAGTATGTGTGAGGCACTGGGTTGATCCTCAGCACCACATAAAGTGAAAAATAAAGACATAGTGTCCACCCATAACTAAAAATAAATATTTTTTTAAAAAAGAAATAATTCTATAAAATGGTCCCACTGTGCTGACCCCCCACATTGTCCCTCTCCTCATTGTCCCTCTTTGCCAAAAAGCAATTTACCTGGGGCCGGGGTTGTGGCTGAGTGGTAGAGTGCTTGCCTAGGATGCATGAGGCATTGGGTTCAATCTCCAGCACCACATTAAAAAAAAAAAAATAACAAATAGGGCTGGGATTGTGGCTTAGCAGTAGAATGCTCCCCTAGAACGGGCGGGACCCAGGTTCGATTCTCAGCACCACATATAAATAAAGGCATTGTATTATGTCAATCTACACCTAAAAAATAAATATTTTTTTAAAAAAGAGTTTAAAAAAATAATAATAAAAATAAAATAAAGGTGTCCATCTACAGCTAAATAAATAAATAAATAATTTTTAAAAAGCAATTTGCCTGAAGCCCTGCTTGGCCTAAGTGGACAGGATATGTCACATTCCTCAGCAAACTACCTGTTATCTTCAAGGAAATGCAGACAGGAAATAACATTGATAAAAGGAACCCAGGTTACTTTAAAGGGAGAGACTTTTGTGACCCTTTTCACAGATCAGATTTTGGAAGATAAGGGTAGTTCCTCCTAACCATAAAATCTGTAAGAATGTATGATTAAGAATCCAATTAGGGCTGGGGCTGTAGTTCAGTGGCAGAGCGCTTGCCTAGCATGTGTGAGGCACTGGGTTCAATCCTCAGCACCACATAAAAAAACAAACATAAAATAAAGCCATTTTGTCCATCTACAACTACAAAAAAAAAAAAAAAAAAAATCCAATTAGACCTGATCAGCATGGGCCAAGGTGACCTAGAGTTACCATGGCAGTGGGAACTTGAAAGTCTGATGTCATCCTGCTGACAGTCAAAAGTCAAGAGGTGAGGGGCTGGAGTTGTAACTCAGTGATAGAGCGCTTGACTAACACACTGAGGCACTGAGTTCAATCATTAGCACCACATTAAAAAAATTAAATAAAAAAGGCATTTTGTCCATAAACAACTTAAA